TTTTTTTCTACTGTTTTCAAGATAATATCGGGTCAGATAAAAAAAAAACGGTCTTGCTTAACTAACTTCTTAGAAGTCTTTGAAGAAGCAATACAAGTAATAAATTCACATAGACATGCTATCAAGTGATTTTCAGAAGGCTTGTGATACTGTAATTACTACTTCTGCAAGTACTTTGATTAACAACTAACTGGTCAATTGGATAGGAAAAAGAAAAGGGTGAAAACTCATACTGGAGTGCTTTCAACAAGATCTGAATTAGGATCACTGATGTTCTGCATTTATACCAGTGATCTAGATTTTGGTATTGCTATTTAACTAGTCAAAATTCACCAAATATAATAAATAAAGAAAATAAGCAAAAATGCTACAAAGAAACTTTTGAAACAGGCAAGATTTGGAAAACATTTTGCGTATGATATTTAATGTACATAAGAAGATTATGTATTGCATACATGTAATAAAAAATACATGATAATATGAGAAAAACAGAGCTTGAAGAAACCTCTTCTGAAATTCGTTATATTTTTGACACAATAATTTTATCTTGCAGACAATGTGGAAAAGCAATATAAAGGCAAACAAAACATTAACAACAACAGATGTAACGCTCAAATTGTTCACAAATGCACTAGTAAGATCTCATTATTAAGATTGTGTGCAGTTTTGGTCACACATTGTAGAAATATTGCAGCTCTGGAATCAGTCCAGAGAAGGGTGACCAGATACATTCTGGGGTCTCAAAGAAATGACCTAAACTACAGTATACAGTAAGGCTGAATGGATTTTATTTCTTAGACTGAAAGAACCACAAGAGAACTTGACCAAGATATTCAAAATCCTCAAAGTCAAAGCAATTAATGTTTTCAGAATCAACAGTGAAAGTACCAAATACCAAGTAGTCAAGGATAAAAGTGGGATTACAGGACAGCACATTTAAAACAGGATGCACTGTTTCACCCACAGGGTTGTGGGATTTTGCAGTTTTCCAGTTACATTTCTTTAAGCTAATACCCTGGTTTCTTTAAAGAAATATCTGGATGAGATCCTCAAATGAATTAGCCAACTTGAAAACAAACAAGCTAATTTGTCTCATTTGTAATCTGTGTTATATAATCTTAAAAGGAGAAAGAAAAATGAAATACATTTACAGTAACATATTTTATTGTCCATGAATTTTGGACATACTGTATGTAGTACAATAGCGACAACAGTCTCTGGCTGTTAAGGTTTTTCTTGAAAAAGAAAGAACATTTTCTTAATTTCTCCAGGAAAAGAAAAAACTGTTAACAGATAATTAGGCTCCTGCATAGCTCAGCTGGGAAAAGGTGCTTGTTCAATACAGACATCACTCAGTTGAGCCTGAGACTGGACTGTGATTACTCAAGCAGGACTGCCAGATTGGCCAGGTGTCGATGCTAACAAGTCAGCTTGAATCAGCGAGATGAGCGACCCCTGAGTTTTGCCTGGTGTCTGAGAGCTTGCAGTGGCCAGTGCACCAACAATGAGAACAGTGCACAAGTACATGCATGGTCCTGGTGTCCCTATGCTGGTTCAGTTATTGTAGTGATCAACCACATTAGTGTAATATTTGTGATTTCAAATAAGGAGCATCAAAAATAAAATATAATTTTTAAGTACATACTGTATAAGTATAAAATATAATTCTGTATATTTTTTTAATCACATCAGACATACAGTACATAAAGGGGTACACTAACACTATATGTATATGGCTCAAATACTCAAAAAGAAAATCGAGTTACAGATTAAGTTGAATTCAAATGAAAACATGCAAATATATATAGTGCCATGCAGAGAGAACGTGCTCTGCAAGCAATCTCATAGCACTAAACACTAAATGCTCTTGAACCAAACCAAAAAAAAAATGTTAATTTCAGATACCGTGCTATATTGTCATATATTTCCAGTCCCACTCCACATTCCACCTGACAAACACTGAATAATAATTAATAATAATTGCTTACACTTATATAGCACTTTTCTGTACACTCCACTCAAAGCACTTTACAGGTAATGGGGACTCCCCTCAAACACCACCAATGTGCAGCCCCACCTGGATGATGCGACGGCAGCCATAGTGCGCCAGAACACTCACCACACACCAGCTGTTAGTGGGGAGGAGAGCAGAGTAATGAAGCCAATTCATAGATGGGGATTATTAGGAGGCCATGATTGGTAAGGGCCAATGGAAAACTTGGCCAGGACGCCGGGGTTACTCCCCTAATCTTTTCGAGAAGCCCTGGGATTTTTAATGACCACAGAGAGTCAGGACCTCGGTTTTACATCTCAGCCGAAGGACAGCGCTTATTTACAGTATAGTGTCCCCGTCTCTATACTGGGGCATTGGGACCCACATGGACCGTAGGGTAAGCGCCCCCTGTTGGCCCCACTAACACCTCTTCCCGCAGCAACCTCAACTTTCCCGGGAGTCTCCCATCCAGGTACTGACCAGGCTCACACCTGCTTAGCTTCACTGGGTTGCCAGTTGTGAGTTGCAGGGCGATATGGCTGCTGGCATGATGAAAGTGACAGCACTGAAGTTGACAGAACTGATTTATTACTACCTGACATTTTATTATTTTCAGAGGCCTATTGTTTTTGGGCACCTTGATCAAAAGAGAATACTAAACCAACTCTTTGCTGACTGTCAGAAGGGTCTGGCAGTTTCAGCATGGATTCTTAATACACCTCTTAGCTGAGTTCAAAAGGACTCACACAGTAAACAAAATTATGAAGATTGAAACTTCTTAGTAAACAGTAAAGGAGCTAATAAGAGAGAATTATAATGACACACGATAAGGTGGCATTAAACTGCTAAGTCTGAACTGAGAACATTGGCCGTTTAGAAAGCTGCACCCTCGACATTTCAGCAGCCTGTTTATGAAGCAAAAGAAAGACACTAAATTAACTTTTTAATATGTATGAAACTGCAAATGCAATACATGATAATGTACTTAGAGCAAAGGCTAAAAAGGGCATCTATGTTTTGAGTAAATTCTGATTCTGATATGCTCTTTCCATTCAACAATTTCTTTCCTTTGCTTATGTACTTTATGCAAGGCAGTATTCCAAAGCATCTCTGGAAGATCTTAATATTTCAAGACCAGTATTCATAATCAGATACTGGAATAACATAAACCTGGCTTGAAAATAAGACTTTCTTTACTTCAAGCATCCATTATACACTAAATATTAACACAGTAATAAAAAAATAAGTACACTGACCATTCAAAATGACAATCCATGTGTCAAATAAAAATGTTTCAAGATTAACTGATGATACAATATTTTTTTTCCCCAAAAGAACAGTGTAACATTTTGTTTTCAAATAATAACAAAGGAATAGAGAGTAACACAAATACAAATCTGCTGTGTATTGGCTTGAAAACAAATCAGATGCAGCAAAGTAGCATAAAAATATAAATAAGTATTCAACCATAATACAGTATACTATAGCTTAGGTGAATGTACTTTTGTTTACATCACCCAAAAAATATATTACTATAAATTACTATATACTGTATTACTATGTGCTGTGCTGATTTCATGTTTGAGAGTAGAATGCAGATTCTTCTGTAGGCTTGTCAAGTAATGGACATGGAAAACATCTGACTCAAGTCATTATGCTTGTGCATGATGTTTTCCTGCTGTAGGGCTGCTATGATATGAAGTCACAAGGGAAGCCACTGAATGGTCATGCTACAAAAAAAAAGCTGGGTGTACAAGCCCTTTAAAAAATGACCTGATCACCTGCCATTGCTGTGAAAAAGTAATATAGCCCATAATTCATGCGCATTATGTATATCACAGGAAATGTGTGCAACAGAATCTGTAATTCAGTCTAATCCTAACCCATTCTAATCACTTGAAAAACAGAAGTGAATGTAACAGAACCAAAATCCTGCAGTCTTATCATTTGATAGACTGTTTGTCCTTGTCTTGACCTTTCAGCATTTGTGTCAACCTTAATCAAATGTATTGTACACCCTATGTACACAGATGATGACATTTCTATGCATCATTATTATTTTATAGCATCATTATGTTACATTCTACTGATTTAATTTTATTTGACTTGCTTACCTAAAAGTAAATTCTGTACGGTACTGTATATGTCTGGCTTCATAGTCACACTTACATGTTATTGGTACTGCGGGTTGCCTTTTCAGAATTCTGTGTGCTTGTAGCACAAATAACTCTTGTAAAAGTAGATTCTGACTGTGAACAGTATTTTTCATGCAGGGCTGAAACTTTCTAATCTTTCCTGCCATAAATTACTGTACATTTTGTGAAACCATTTCTCTAAAACATCAAATAACCTCTATATAATGGGGTAAAAGCTGTATTGTTAGCTTTACATACAAACCCAGACAATTATCTCTGATGTTTTCTTATCTCTATTATTTTCACTGACTGATGAATATTTGCGATTTTCTCCCCACCACGTGTATTTCAATATGATTACCACTACCTTCAGAGTCATATGCCATAAAGCAGCTTCAATGCCAAAAACTGACAGGTCAATCAGCTGGAAAACTAGGTGTTACAAAAATAATTATCAATTTAGCCTATTGAACCACTGGACCTTTTTCTGAAGGCATCCTTCAGGCATCTTCTATTCCCTTAGACAGAGATATACTGTATGGCGTCAATGTAAATACCAGGCTGTAACCTGCATTAGTACAGGAAATGACCTGGACTGAAAGGTCAGCCAGATACAGTATCTTTATCCCTGCTGAACTAGCTCATAAAAAATATGCAGTTATTTACAACTAAAAATAACAAATCTCCCACTGACAAAACAATTCTTACTGAAATCAGATAAAATACACATGAGGATTATTGTTTGTTTGTAGAGACAACATGTTTTATATTTGTCTCAACTGTAGTTTGAAGTGAAGTGTTTATAATGTTCTGTAATGAATGGGAAATCACTTGGCGATATAATTAAAAAAAACTTAAAAGAAATAACATACCTTCATATGTCCCACTTTCTAATAAAGCTCCACTCTTCTCTAATTCCATAAACTGGTCAACAGTTACAAAATTATAGTCCACCCCTGGGACCTCTCCCTCCTTAGGCTGCCTTGTTGTACCTGAAAAGGAGAACCAAAAAATAAGAGTCAGTCAACATTCATTTTTATTAGCGATACCACAATGAATCCTCAGTATATCATACCTGAAATTAATTGTTCATGATACACTTACATGGGTTTGACTGCTGAATGTGCACTAAACTACAGTACATCATTTTTGAGAAAGCCGATTAGGCACGGGTGATGAGGGATAGTAGTTTAACCTATTGCATGTCAAACCTGGTTAAAATCAAGAAAGAAAAACACAGAAAGGAACCCATATGTCCCATTTATATAGAGAATGACACCTTTATATTCTCAGTATGCTGAAGGCTGGATTAAGATGTACTGTACAGTAACTCACCATCTCAAATGTTCATAGCAAGATGTTATACCCACACACAGTCCATCAATGTCAATGACAAAATCAATACATCCAACCTATTTTTAATTGCAGTGTACAGTATGTGGTTCAACTGTGTAGTCTGCTTTATTGTTTAATAAATGTCGTCCAAATAGCACAAACCCCTAAATATAAGACTTTTTATGGGTACAGTTAGGGAGTACCTGTCATTCTGCAGTATACCCAGACTTTCAAATGTTACCACAAAATTTCTTCCACTTCTGCAGATTGAAAGAAATATAAAATATTTATATTATATTTAAAATATAAAAATAAATATAAACTATTCCCTGTAACTGAAGTAAAAATATCTAAACACATACGTACGAAGCTTAGGAAAATTAAAAATACATTAGCAATGACGTGTGACTATTGATTACCATGTTGTGTCTTGGCTTTTTGTATGTATTAAATGTGTCTAAGGTATCACGTCTGTATGAAAATCCTCTATGAAGTTCTCCAGTGTCAGATATTTCTAAACTTATTTATAGGAACAAATGAAAGGCATTTCAGGAATCTGGGTAAAATAAACTGAGTATAAAGTTTGGATGAACACAGTATGTTCATGATAAAATATGTATATGAAGATTTTCCCTTCTTATTCTCACAATAAACATGAAATAACAGTTTAAAGTTCAGATTTATCTCACTGGTACATTATATATTCTAGTCATGGAAAATTATGACTAATAAGATATGGCTTTAATTAATTAAGAAATCATATTTTTTTAATTATTGGAAAAATTATTGGAATACTTTTTAGAATAATATTGTGTTATACTTCAGACCACACACTATATCAAGAAGCTGTTATATTATCTTATAGAAAAAAAATGGAATCTACCAAGAACTAAAATCAAGGTGCAGTGTTACTAAAGTGAACTAAATACTGTACAACCACAGTGTATTTGAGAAGATGTAACTAAAATCACAATTGTCTCCATAGTTTCCATCGAATAGACTAATAGACAAATGTTCTGTCAACCATTTTACTTAAAGGTGCAGCAGCAGTTCCTAATCCTGTTTCAATACAAGAACTGTACATGCATATAGTATGCTCAACATTTTAATCTATATTATACTCTACATCTTGATCTGTGGGCTGGAAAGATTTCATTCTAAATGTGGTCAAATCTGTACATTCTGAGAAAGGGAGACAGACACCTGTTGTGTGGAATGTTTACAGAGAAAACATTATGTGACATTTCAGAAAAACTGAAAGACAGTGGGAAAAGCCTGGTCAAAAATACTATTGTACTACAGTATACAGTATATGCACATTTTTATGTGTGTTCCAATACGTGTGTAAGAGTATCTCCAAAACATGACTTTTATGGTAACACAACAGAATGACTAATGCTGTATTCACCTTATAAAAACCCTTCAAGAATTATCATATGTATAGAATGAGAGGAAAATGCACAGAAACTACCTTTTTCGTAACAACATTAATTTCAAATATTTGCTGAACTGAGCTATGACTTCTTGCAACCCTTCAGGTGAATGGCACAAGTTAAATTTTAATTATGGCAATTTCATCAAAGTGAAGGAAATGTGGCATCACAGGATGTATTCTTTCAGTTTATACAAGAGTTGCCAAAGAAGCCATTACTATGATATTTTAATTAAAAGCAGTGAATGTATGCTAAATTCAGTTCTGATTACATATTCATGCCACATTTATTTATTAAACCACAAATTTGCACCCATACTTAAAAGAGTAATTAAAGTGTCATCAGATCATCATTTACATCTTATTGAATAGTGTTTTGAGGTCATTTTCTCCACATTTTAATGTTCAACAGCTTGCCATATTGCAGTGTGCAAACACTGTGCCGCTAGTTAAACAGTCCTGGCATGACATTTTTCTTACACAGGCAGTGCCCAAAAGCATGTTAAAGGACAGCACCAGAATTAATATGCACATTCTGCTGCATGTACTTCTGAAACACCAAACCTATGATTAGAAAGTTGAATTCCATAATTTTTGTGACACGATCCCAGAAAATAGATTTAGCAAAACAGTTAGAAATTATTGCATAAATGGAATGAGTCCACTAATATTTGACTAAACATACGCAATGGTTTCTATATGATTTAGCCTGAATATATTTAGCCAATATCCATTTCTCAAGGTTTTCAGCTGCCCAAGCATGAAATAAAGTAATGGAAAGAAAACAGATCTTCTACAACCATTAAATTACTTGGCAACTCTGCCTTAAAGCTCCGACTGTTGATTAATCAGATCTTAAATAGGAAAAGCAAATTGCTTAACAAAATTCTCTCTCCTCCTCCTTCATGATTTTTTAAATGAATTACACACAGGACAATGAGTCCTTTAACATTAAATGACAATTTTTTGTGAATTGATTTCATTTTGACAGAACTAAAACAAACAGAATGATTATTGCTAAAGCTTCATAGACAAGAAAATACAGTATATGCTGATACGCTCAAAATGCCTTGAATAGTCCCAAGATTTAACTTCAGGGACACCTCAAAGGTGTAAATAAACAGCACATGCATATGCCCAACACTTTAATGTATATTATGCAGTACATCTTGGTGATAAAATAGCAAAACAAATACACAGGGATCAATCCCCTCTTACCAAGCTGCCTGGACAGTCATAGCTAATCCCTTCATTGAGGAGACCTGCCTTGTTTTGCAGGATTGGCCATTTTTGTAATTCATACAGGTATAATTTTAAATAAATAATCCTTATACTTATATAGCACTTTTCGGGAAACTTCTCCAACACCAATGCGTAACCCCACCTGGATGATGCAATGACAGCCGAAGTGCCCCAGTATGCTCACTATACAACTATCTGTAGGGAGGAGAGCAGAGTTATGAAGCCAGTTCGTAGCTGGGAAATATTAGGTGGCTATGGGTGATAAAATCCAGGGGGGAAATTTAACCAGAATACCAGGTTAAAACCCTACTCTTTTCGAGAAATGACCTGGGATTTTTAATGACCACAGAGAATCAGGACCTTGTCATCAGAAAGACTGTACCTTTTTTACAGTACAGTGTCCTCATCACTATACTGGAGCATTAGGACCCACAGAGACCGCAGGTTGAGCGATCCCTAATGGTCCCACTAATACCTCTTCCAGTAGCAATCTTAGCTTCCCCATCAGGTCTCCCATCCAGGTGCTGGCCAGGCTCACACCTGCTTAACTTTAGAGGGTGACATAGCTGCTGACTATTTTTCCCATTTGTGTCTTTTTCCCCATTCAACTATCTACATTGTAAAAAATATCTTGATAATACTCATCTCTTCCTCAAAATGTATTATTTTTGAGCCTTACAAATATTTCAAAGGTATTGTGATGTCAGGCAATTATTCTTGCTGTTTAATATGCAGAAGGTTCTTCTGATTCTACCAGTTTCTGTAAACTGAATACAGTGGGTATAGTAAGTCACCACCCCCTTTCAAAATGTTCACCCTTTGTTGTCATAAAGCCTAAAAAGAAGACAAATAAAATCAGACTTTATCCAGTTTTATTTACAAATTGTACCTTGCAACATCCAAGTAAAAAAAAAAAGAAAGCAAAACCTCTGAAAAAATAAAAAAGTAGAATGACTGGGTTGGATAAGAGAACACCTCCTGAGTTAATACTTGGTGGATTCTTGAATTACAGCCTTGCGTCTGTTTGGATACATCTCTACCAACTTTGCACACCTAGAGGGTGGAATATTTGCCCATTCCTCCTGACAGAATTATTCAAGCTCAGTCAAACTTAATGGGGACCGTTGATGGACTGCCCTCTTCATGTCATTCCAAAGATTTTAGAATTTAGTTCTGACTAGGCCACTCAAGGACATTCACCTTCCTGTCCTTCAGGCACTGTACAGTTGCTTTGGTGGTGTGCATTGGTTCATTGTCATGCTAAAAGGTGAACCATCTTCTCATTTTCAACATTCTGGTTGAGGGCTGCAGATTTTCTTCAACAATTGGCCTGTCTTTTGCACCATCCATCTTCCCTTCTATCCTGACAAGTGCTCCAGTCCTAGCTGAAGAGAAACATCCCCACAACAGGATGCTGCCATCACTGTGCTTTACTGTAGGAAGGATGTTCTTTGGATGGTAAGATGTATTGGGTTTTCGCCAGACGTACCATTCTGCATTCTGGCCAAAAAGTTAGATTTTGGTCCACTTTGCTACAGAATCTTTAAGGTGCTTTTAAGCAAACATAAACAAGACTTGATGTGTTTTTTTTTAGGATGGGCTTTTTTCTTGCCACTCTCCTATACAGGCCAGATTTATGTAGTGCTTGTGATATTGTTGTCACATGCACACATGAACAGTCTTTGCCATTAAGGCCTGTAGCTCCTTTAAAGTTGCCATCGGCCTCTTGGTAGCCTCACTAATCACTCCTTACTTGGTCATTGAGTTTGGAGGGAAGGTCTGATCTAGGCAAGGTCTGGGTTGTGCCATATGCCTTACACTTCGTAATGATAGTCTTGACTGTGCTCCATGGGACACTTAAAGCCTTTTAAATCTTTTTATATCCATCTCCTGACGTGTGCCTTTCCACAACGTTATGTCAAAGTTCTTTTGAAAGCACCTTTCCTCCCATAGTGGATTCTTTGCTTTCAATGCACTTCCAAG